GGTTATAGTCGCTACTTACCTTCTAAGGTACTATAGCATTGTTCCTATTAAGGGACTTGACCTTACTGGCCTACCTGGAGTTTTGGGTAGAGCTAGTTTTGGATATGACACCCCATAGTGTGTGATTTAGGGGAAACCGTGTTTATAAGTGAGTAAGGTAATCTTGGCCCGGTAGCCCCTCCTGATATAATTAAGGCTTTGGGGTAGTCTCATCACATGGACGATCCCTTTCGGTTGTTGGCCCACGGATTTCATGTCAGAAGAAATAAGGGAGGATATAAAGAAGAAATCGATCATGCATATTATTATTATCATGCCATTTGAGTGATTGATGGCTATGTTGAGAATATAATTGTAATTGTAGAAATGAGAACATGTAGTAATTATGCGAATAATGTATATGTGGTTATTTGTGCAAATTTTATACTTAACTTTATTCTTAAAATTATTCACATGAGTTAGATGTTAATGTAATTAACATGTTATTAATGTGATTGTTTACATAGTCACTTTGATAAACTTATTAGTCACTTACATTCATGATTAATTATCATGCATTTGTATAACTTAGATATACCTTGGTTACTGAGTGGTTGTACTCACCCCTCTCTTTTAACATATTACAGGAGCTAGTTCATATGAGAAAAACAGAGGAAAGGAGCATTAGACCAAGTGATAATAATCACTTCTGTAGGCCTCTCTCCTTTTATTTGATATGTGTATTTAGTTTATGATATTGCCAACTAGGATAATATATTCTTGATCCACTTGCATTATAGGTTTTGTGTTGGGGAAAATGTATTTTAGGCCCTGAAAAATATGGTTTGATGCTTGTGCTATAATTACGAGCCAAAATATTTGTGCAAGTAAAAATAGTTATTATCATGCTTCCACATATGTTTAATTAAATGATATGAGTTCTTAAAATGTTTTAAAGACTTGGGATCCCTTTATATTAAATAGTTTAAAAAAAATAAATACATATTAAGAATTCATTTGGTTTAATCTCGTATTGGATAATCTATTTGGGTTAGTCTTTAATTAACCATAGTTAGTATGATGATTAAGTCCTAATTTAGGACGCCCTTTACACGAGAAATTAGCATATTCCTTCTATATGCCTCTAGTTTAGCTCTAGATTGTGTAATAGTATTTGAATTGCCAATTCTAGGATGCATATTACCTCACTTGCACTACTTTAGTTGTTGAAAATGTTAGAATTGTATTTTAGGCCTTTAGCCTTTGTGTATTTTTATCATATATATGTTTATAGGGCTAAAATACTAATGCAAGTGTAGAAGTGAAGTTTGAGCATGTTTCGAATGATTTGAGTTAAATGCAATGCTAAGTTACCTCCCCATTTGTTTTTAGTAAAATGGGGTTTAGGAGTGAATTGTCGTTATATTGATATTTCGATGCTTGTGATGTGTTGTACTGGTAGTCCTACGTCCATTGGACATGGTCCAGTTGTTAGGAAAAGCTTTTGGCACTTGTATAGGGTTTTGGACACCCATTTTGTGTAAAAGTGTTAAAAAGTGGTTAAAATATGTTTGAGTGTCTAACTTCCTAGTGTGACTTATTTTGTAAGTAAAACCCATACCATTAATTAATACATGAAAAGAGCTTTCCGTAGACACTTAGATCACGTCATTTGAACGTCGGACGGAGAATCAGGGCAAGTCAAAAGTTTCTCTAATTCTATTATCAAATGACAGCAGAACCAGTGAAGAATCATGCAACTCGCCACAGCGCGTGGCAAAGAGAGCAACACGCCGTGGTGCATTACTATGTATTTCAATACATAATTTATTTTCAACCATTTTTGATTTCTTTCACTCCTCTGAAGTATCCCATACTTCCAAAATTTATTTTTACTTTGATAGGAAAGGTTTTGATTGATTTTTTAACTCGTTTCTATTTAAAAAACTTGGGATCCTTTCCTTTTGAATTAAAACTTGTTAATCACTCTTCGGAGTTAATCCCTCAATTACCATGGACTTTATTTGCTAAGTGTGTTTAGTGGAGTAAGAATGTTACATTACCTGCAACTAATCAGTCGATATACATAATGGATCTCCCTTAAATGTCCATTTTATTGTAGGTGCATGTGATATGAAGCATATGCATCTACTCTTCTTGTATATGCAAGAATCTTTAACGAAATGCAATCATGTATCTTCCATAAATGAAATACTAACCATGCATAAGCGACATATCTCCTTTTAATACAGCAAGCTCCTCTCATGTGCAAGGGTCTTCAATATATACAATTAGTTAGTCAGTATATGCAATGCATTATCCTTAAAGGTTCATTTTGTTATAGGTGCATTTGATATCAAGCATAAGCAATTGATCTTCTCGTATATGCAAAAACTTCAATGAAGTGCAATCAACTTTCACGAATGAGAAACTGACTTTGCATATGTAGGATATATCTCTCTAATGCAATAAGCTCTTCTCATATGGAAAAGTCTTTAATATATATAGCCAATTAATCGATATATGCAATGCATCTTCCGTAAAAGTTTATTTTATTATAGGCGCATGTGACATCAAGCATATGCAATTAGTCTTCCTGCATATACAAGAATCTTTAATAGAATGCAAACATCTTCCATAAACGAGAATCTGATCACACATATGCAACATATCTCCCTTTGATGTAATAACTTATGTGCACATGCAAAATTCTTCTAGGAATACATGTAATTTACTGTGAAGTGCAACCCCTTTCTTATTTTTTTAATTTTGAAATCTACTTTGCTAGGGGCATTTTAGTCTTTTAACGATACTATGATAATGCCATAAAAGGACCTAATTTTCCAAAACTCCCCAACTCCCTTTTAACAATTAATTTGCTGATGAAGTTTTTTTGGACAAATTTCCCGATTGTCTAATAGTATCTATCACATCATTTTTCCTCAGAGATATGACAAGTTACAATTTTTTAAAATTAAATTAACATATTTTTTTAGGACAAGCAGAACTTTGGTTCATGAACTTTTTGGGTCCACTCCTTAAATTTTAATTTAGAATGACTCAATTTTTATAATTTATTAATTGAAAATATTTAATCCTTATAAATTTTTAAATTTGGTAGTATAACTTAATCTATGTAGTGATAAATCTAAGAGCCAGTAATTGGGACCAAATAACTAAAACATGAATGGAGGGGCCAAAATCCAATTTAATGTTTTTATAAGTAAAAAATTTAAATTTTTTAAAAGGAGTATTGGAGTGAGGGGAAAGGGTCTTTTGCTTCTCTAGATTTATCATTGAACTCTTTGTGATTCATTAATTCAATAAATTATAAAAACTGAATTGTATTGAGTTAAATTTTAGAATGATAATTGAATAAAAATTTAGAGATTGTAAGTTATATTATTCTTAATTTTATTTTACATATTATTAAAATAAAATATTATATGAAAAATAAAAATAATTACTATTTTACTATGAAATATTGAGATGAGACCAAAATAAAAAAGATCTACATTTAGGTTTCCATGGCACAATTAAATGTAAAATTTATAGAAAATCACAAAATGATAATATAATGCTAACATCTTGCTATGCTAAGTTGTAAATAAAACTTACTGTATTTACTTGTATTATGAGTAATTTTAATGAAAAAGATATAAAAATGTGTTGAATAAAAATATAATTAGAGTTATCCCCGTGCACGGATGGGGATGAAGAGTTTCTCAAATTATCAAACTCATATGAATATTTCATATTATTTTAGTCATTGACACAAAACAATACGATAAATGAATATGGTAAAGTAACTTGATAAAGCGTAAGAAATACAATAATAGTTTAAGAATAAAGCTTTGATAAGATATACATTGTTTACAACGTGAATGAGAAAATTATAAATTGACTTATATTGAATCCTGCGTCAATTGAATATTTTCCAATAGAGATCATCATACATAAAAAAATATTTCTATTTTCAAATAGAATTCATATCAGCATTTTGAATTAAAATTGTGAGATTCAATAATTAAACATTGCACAGATGAAGGTAATCAATGTAAATTTTTCAAGTAATAAGACAGTCCAAATAAGTTAAGAATTTTTTTTTACCTGAGTTGTTAGATTTCATTGCTCTTTTGTTCAAGAAATTGACTTCGTGCCAAAAATTATGTAATTCACTAGTTTAAAAAAAAAAATCCAAATCCATGCTTTATCTTCAATGGATGAGAACTAAAGTTAAATTGGTTAAATATAACGCTTATTTATTTAAAATTTAAAAATAAGTAACTTTTAAATAATTTAAAATTTTTATAAAAAATTATTTATAAATATTATTTTATATTTGGGTAAAATAATAAAAAATATATTATTAATGGATTATTTTTAAATTTTTAAATTTTCTTCTTGATTTATGTTTTAAAAAAATAGTCTATTATTTAATTATTTAAAATTTTATAATATTTTTATGTATCTCATATTTTAAAATATTACTCCTTTTATTAAAAAATGTAAGACATTTTTAATAGAATCTCATCTCCAATAAAATATTTATCTATTTTCAAACTAACTCTATCTTTTCATATTTATCTTTATTAAATACCCTACAATAAATATAAAGTTATTATTAATAGAAATACTTTTAGAAAAGAGGCAATGATTATACTTCGAAAGATTAAAAATGCCTTACATTTTTAAACATCTAACTTCTTAAAAAATGTCTTATATTTTTGAACGGAGTGAGTACCTCTCATCCATCGTGTATGATTATTTACAAAAATTACTTTGGTAACTCCTTAAAATAATCATATATTTATTTTTTATAATTTTAATTATTTTAAAAAATTTAAAACAAATATCATAAAAATTCATGAAATAATTTTTTTAAAAAATATTTTTTTCATAAAAAAAATGAAATAAACCGGCACATAATACAAATTTGTAGGCGCTGACGTCCATCTCCATCTTAATGAAGGTTAATGTCCCATAACCCCTAGTTCCAGTCTTACGTGTCTCAATTCTAAAAATATCCTCGGCCTCCATTTCTCTCTCTATATCTCTCCTGCGTTTTAGACCTGAAGTGCATGACGCTTTGCGCAGCCCTCGAACTGTCTGGGTGTTTAATCAATCTCGTCCGTTCATTATTGTATCCAACGGATCAGACTAGTCGGTGTGTGGTTACCCCCATCTTCCTCAGTGGTTTTAATCATAAACCCTAGCCGATACTCTTCCACGCTCTCTTTCTTTGCGGCTACAACTCCTTCGATCCTCTATTCTCTCTCCTCGTCCCAAGTAGATCTCACTATGAGATTCGGTTCTTATTTCGATTCCCAACCTATCTTACTGATTTTCGTCTATTTTATTGGAACTTTATAATTTGTATCAGACTCGATCCCTGTCTTCCTTTCTCGGGGAAGATCCTGATTTTCGCTGCCATGTCGTTTCTTCTCTTTGTTACTGTATTTTAACTCACCCTGCGCTTAGCTCATACAATTTCTGTGTTCGGGTCAAGGGTCGCTCCGATTATGCTGGAATAATCCGACTGTCGGTTGAATTTTCTTTGTTTTCAGTGTGTATGACACAATTAGGCGCTGGGGAATCCGCTGGGTTCGATTTTGTTCTGTGGACTTAAGTGTGAGTCAACTCAGCTTCGACTCGGTGACTATCGTCTAGATAAGATCGAGTCTCGGGTTGTATCTTTTGGAAACCGTACGGCAATGCCGGCGGTTGGGATGAGACGAACCACGAGGGTGTTTGGAGTCGTGAAGGGAGCTGACTCCGCCAGGGTCTTGAGGTCGGGGAGGCGCCTTTGGCCGGAATCTTATGATGGGAAGATCAGGAGGGGTAACGATGCGGATGAGTGGTTGAAGCCGGTAAAGACTCCTGGGAAAGGCGACGCTTGGGCTCGTGGCTTTGTTAAAACAAAGCAAGAAGTCGCAGTTATAGGAAAACATGCAGATTCTGGTACGAAGAAGACGAAGCCAGTGAAAGAAGGCAGATCTTCACGCGGCGGAAATGGCCCCAATAAAATGTGTCGTCTTGTATATAGTAGAAAAAGAAAGACACCGGTCGCTGAAAGTTCAGACTTTTCAGTTGATGTAGGGGCCAAACGAAGTCTGGAAGATGACAGGAGGTGGGGCTTGTATTTTTCTCGTCGGCAACGAAGGAAACTCATTGAAGATAATCAAGGTGTGCTTTCTGTTGTTGTGAGGCCCTCTTATGGCAACAGCCATTGGCTTTCGTCTTTCTTGGCTTTGGTGTTGAGTTACATTCGGCGGGTTGGGTTGACATTTAAGGATCTTTCGGCCTTTATTCTAGTTGAGCCCTTTTGTGGTGCCTATGCTTCCCGGGGTATACAATTTCTACAGGTAATGACCCCCCTGAGCTTTGCTTGGGGATCCGCTTTATGTTACTCCTGTACTCGTGCAATTTCATCGGCCAATTTTTTTTTTTTTTTTGCTATTTTGCAAATGTGATGCTTTGGTTAAGCCAAATTCGCCTTCTATTTTATACTTGAATGAATGGACGGAACACATTATAAAACTAAAGTGTCGGATTGACGTTTTACTTAGTTATTTATTGTACTGTGGGTTGTACTTTATCTTTCCTTTTGCTCGATTAACATTCCTTCGATACTTTCTTGTATAACTTTTGTTTTTCTCTGCTTCAGGGACCGCCTACTACGAAAATTGGAATTTGCAAATTTTTTGGGATCACAGGATTGGACCCATTGTTCAGTGTGGATTTCTCTGCCGTCCCTCTTTCTTTCTTGCACTTGCATTCTGCAATGCTTTCGAGATCTTTTTTTAGGTCATTTTTACTTGTAAATAATTTAATTTGTGTGCATAGTGACGATGAGGTGGATAGTGACAACCAAGAACTTGAGATTGAAGAGCCGAATTCATGCCATTCTGTCGAGACAGAACCTTCTGGGAGTGTATCCATCACTCCTGATGTCATTGAAATCAAGGACAGTTCATCGTTACAAGCACCTGTTAGGGGTTCCAGGATAGCTGGCAGAAATGGACAATACAGAAGTATTCTAAATTCTAGAGGAATTCAGAGGAGGAGAAGTTCACTTAGGAAAAGGAAAGCTCGAAATCCTTCATTGTTGGGTGTGCAGAAAACCCATGCAGCGTTGGCTTCTGATTTAGGGGATGGCAGGAAAAACAGCACTCCTTTGACTGGTGTAGCTTCAAGGAAGAAGCTAAGAAGTTTGGTTCACAGTTATTCCCCTGGAAGCTTTAAAGAAATGAGTTCTTCCTTGGTTGATTCAATTGAAGACCTGGATTCATCTCTCTGTTCTGCAAATCTATTAATCACGGAGTCAGACAAATGTTATAGGGTAGAGGGAGTAATAATTACTCTTGAAATGTCAGCTTCAAAAGACTGGCATATCACAGTGAAGAAAGATGGTTTAACAAGATGCACTCTCAGGGCAGAAAAAGTTATGAGACCCAATTCTTCCAATCGGTTCACCCATGTGACAATGTTTCCATTGGACAATGGTTGGAAGTTAGAGTTTGATAGGCGACAGGACTGGATTCTTTTTAAAAATCTTTATAAAGAGTGTTCTGATCGCAATATTTTAGCTCCTGTTGTCAAATTCATTCCTGTACCAGGTGTGTGTGAAGTCCCTGGTTATGCAGATAGTAAGAGTGTTCCCTTTCACAGACCAGATAGCTATATTTTAATGAGTGGTGATGAGTTATCTAGAGCTTTGGCCAAGACGACAGCAATATATGACCTGGACTCTGAAGATGAGGAATGGCTAAAAAAGCTCAATTATGAGTCTCAAGAGCGTGTTTCAGAGGATAATTTTGAGCTAATTATTGATGCTTTGGAGAAGGCATATTATTGTAATCCTGATGATTTTTCTGACGAGAAATTGCCTGCCAATCTTTGTCAAGATCTGGGAAGCAATGGAATTGTGGAAGCTGTATATGGCTATTGGATGAAAAAACGGAAGCTAAAACGTTCATTGCTGCTTAGGGTTTTCCAGGTAAAATTGCCTCGTGTTTCAGATAATGCATTCCATCCAGAGAGTGTATTTGTGATAGTTTTATGGTGTCTGTTACTTTGTAGATGTTATTGTTGCCATCTCATTTTGTCAGTAGAGGTGGGAAAAATTCAGGCCTGTGTGAAATGCGGTTTAACATTTCTATTTTAGTATCAGTATAGAAAATTTCCTTGCATGTGCAAGTATTATTGTATATGTGATATACATCTTTGAGCCCGCGTATCTGAACTGTGATCCAAGGTTGTAGGTTAATATGTTTCTTCTCTCTTTCTCGGTTGAAGGCATTGACGTATACTTTTTTCTCCCTGGTGTGGATGATATTACTTTAGCCAATGCAACTTTTCTATGAAAATTTGTACAACGCATTTTGTATGATGTTCTTGAAACCTGTTCTACTGCTGGGGTTTTGGGGGGGGGGGACTCGAGCCATAGATTTTGGTCATGTGAAAACAGTGCACTTTAGGATAACCAAAGTATCATAATCTAAAAGAGTTGATGGGCAAGGATAAGAAGAGGGGAAAATGTTGTGAGAATTACAACTTAGGAAAGTATGACAAAATGAAGGACAATTCCTTTGGGGTAAAATACACCTTATGTGCGGTTTGATCCTTAATCATTTTGCTCTCTATAGTGTTATTCAACCCTCTTGTAGTTTGTTTTGCTGTGAAGGTGGTATCTTGTATTTAAGCATTGAGAGTGATAATGACCTCAATGTCAAAATTGAAAAAAAAAAAAAAAATATTTGTCGAGAGTTTTTCACTGCATCTAAAGCGTTCAAAAGCTAGTACTAAGTGAAACATATTTTCAGCTATGAAACTATTAAATGATGTACAACTCGTGTTTTTCCCGATTAAAGTTAAGGTGGAAATACCACAACTGGTTTAGTGGTGATGGTATAAGAGGGTTGAAGTTTGAACAGAACAAAACCTCAAGAACAGTACCTGATTTATGAATCTTTTTGTGCTCATTTTGAGGCAACTGAATTTATGGTGATTTACATTTTGGGAGTACTGTACTTTTGGAAATTGGTTGGTGCTTGTGCTGCCCCAATAAATCAATAACTATGCTATTTGGGAAGCGTAAGCATGTGAAATGGTACTACAGGAGTAGTATTTCGCTTCACTTGCTCTTTCATCTTTTACTTGTTAATTGTACTTCAATTTTGGAACCAAATTGTGAACGGTGTTTTAAACTGCACTACAACTTCATAAGATTGGCTTGGATGTTTTCTTACGGACAGGGTCATCAATCAAAGAAAGCTCCACTTATACCAAAGCCTTTGCTAAGGAAGAGAAGGTCCTTCAAGAGACAGCCAAGTCAATTTGGTAGAGGCAAGCAACCAAGTGTATTGCAAGGTACTTAATTTGTTTCTACTTCTAGCTATAAGATTGATTGAGGATTGTTTCTATCAGTGGGTGAATTAATGTTGAATTATCAGCAATTCATTGGATGTGCTGTTACAGTATGGTTGGTTTTGAATTTTCATAGCGGTAATTTGTGTCAATGCTGAGATGCTAAACATTTTGTTGTTGTTGTCTTGACCCAACTTTTAACCTTTACCCCTGCAGTGGCTGTTTGATTGCATATCTTGTTTGCTTGGCCCTTTGAGCCTGGCACGCATATATTATTTGGTTTAGGATATGATCTTGTTTTCATATTGTGGTTTCATCTGATGATCACTTTTAAATTGCGGGCATCTGTCTGCATATTTGTTATAACCTGTTTATCATCATCTCTAATCTCTATATCCATTTACAGCAATTGCGGCTGAACAAGTTGCTTTGGAAGAAAAGAACGCGATGATGCTTAGGGTTGAAGAGGCTAAAGCTTCTGCAGACAAATCCATGGAATTAGCAATACTGAAACGCAAAAGAGCTCAGGTTCTCATGGAGAATGCTGATTTAGCCACTTACAAGGCCACAATGTTAATTAGAATAGCCGAAGCAGCCCAAGTTGCAGAATCAACAGATGTCTCGGCCGGTTTCTTTCTTGATTGATGGTAGAGGAATTGCTGAAGCTAATTATAACAGTATTTTTATTACAGGAAATGTACACAGCAGATCTGTTGGTGCTGTGTTTTTTTTTTTTTTAATTTAAGTGTAATTTTGTATAGATTTTTATTGTATGTACATTCTGTATGAAGATATTGACCTCCCGGATCTTCTGTACAATTAGACTAGATTACATCTAATTAGATTTAAAGGAAGAATTTAAGAAAATGAAAAAAAAAAAAAAGAAGTTACACAGGATTTTCAAACTTGTGTCTCTGACTGATCATCGTGTTTTTTTTTTTTTTTAACTCTGATTCTCTTGTTGATCCACTGATTAAAGGGTTTAAATTTCTAGGGTCTGGCCGTTCAATTGGCAAAGAAGACCGTAGTTGTCATGCCTGGTTTTTGTTTTTATTACATTCATGCTTGGTTTTTGATTTTATGCCTCGGAGACCTTGTTTGGTTGTTCCAAATGGCTGTAAATTTATTTGGGTTGGGTTTAATTCGGTCTGGATTTATTCAAGTCAAATTCAAAGTATCCTATTTTTTTAAAAAAACTCATATGGTCAAATTTGGTTATAATTTTTTTCGATCGGGTTTAAGCTCGCTTGTTGGACTTGGTTAAAATTACTGACTATATATGCATATAGAGTTGAAAATTTTAGTAATTAAGTTTATTCGAATCGAGCTTAAAGTATTTTACATTTTTAAAATAGTTCATATGGTCAAGTCCAACTTTAATTTTTTTCTAGTTGGTCTCGTCTGGCTTGACATAAATTATCGACTCTGTATCAAAATAAGGTACTTTATTAGCTTATATTTGAAAAATAATGTACTTTCTCTATTTAAAAGTGTAAGGTATTTTTTGAGGAGGTGAATGTTCAAAAATGTAAGGTATTTTTAATTTTTTGAGATGTAATCATTACTTTTTTTTAAAAGTGTCCATATTGATAATGACTTTATATTTATTATAAGGTATTTAATAGAAATAAATATGAAAAGATAGGGTTAGTTTGAAAGTATGTAACTACTTTATTGCGAGTTAAAATTCGGTTAAAAATGTCTTATATTTTTGAATGAAGGGAATATATGTTTTTTTATTGTTTTAGAATTAGATTATTTGAACATATATAAAGAAAGTTGTTAGAGGTGTTAATGGAAACTGGGAAAAGTGAAATGGACAATTTTGAATTTGGGCAAAGGAAGGTTAAAAAAAAATATTTATTACAATTGTTGGAAGAAATTTTTTTGTTAATAATATATTCATGTAGTTGATCACATCCCACATACTGAGATACTCCCTTCAATTCTATTTATAAATTATTTTTACTAATCTCATCAATATCAATAAAAGTACAAGAAATAAAAGTAAGCAAAATTTTAATTATATCCTTCAAGTAAAAAACAAAAGGTAAATAAATAAGTAAATAAGTAATATAATATTATTTTTTCTGTTTTTTCTCTTATTTTTTAGGAATAATTTAAAAATTTTAATTTGAAACAAAATAATTTTATCAGTTAGTGATTTATAAGAAAGATCAAATTATATTTTTAGAATGTGACTAATGCATAAAATCGAAAGAGTAAATGTTTACACGTGATTTGTTAATTGTTGTAATTTAGTACCAGAAGTTAACAACACCATTGTTTTATGTTATTTGTTCCGTGCAGCAAAAACTTCAGCTGTTCCACAAGCTTGGGCCTAACGAAACCTATAGTCGATCTAGTTGCTGTTGTTTTCAATTTTTGTCTGCTTGATGTACATGCTTCATGCATGGGATGAATTAATATTCCTCTTTTTCGGCCCAAAAAAGCTGTTCAAACTCTATGTTTTGAGTTCAGTTCTAATCTACAAAAGATTAAAAAGAAAAACAGGGAAGGGCCGAAGGGGGCATGACGAGCTTTGCTTAATGTATCTGTTTACACACAGACATGTATGTATATTGTTTTAAAATAAATAGATCTTTTTACAATTATGGCTTTTTTAAAATCCAAATTATGTTTTAATTTAGGACCTGCTAGGTTTCTTACATTTTACATTCAAAAAGAACAACTCAAAATTTAAGAATGTAAAAGTTGTTTGGTTTCCTCAAATTGTTTTCCAAGTCCATTTAAAAATATATTGAAAAAGTTTCAAAAGTCTATTTCTTGAACTTAACTTAAGGTAGCTGTTTGAAAATATTGTGTGTAATTTTCTTACCAATTGATTCTCAATCTTCTATTTTTATTCAATCATTCCCATAATCGAATCTTGGGAGAATGAGAGTTAATAAATAATGTTTATTTTCCAACCCTATTAAAATTTATAATACATGTTACAAACTCATCAAAATAAAGATGTAAAATTTAAAATTGAATGAATTTGCCAATCCCTAGAACTGTTAGACTTGATATTTTATCATTGAAGGATTAAAGAATTTTGTTGGCACTCTAAACTTAGTTAAAAGTTAACTTAAATTAATTGATCTTTTTGGGATCAAACTATCATTATCTCTTGAAAAAAAAATTATCCAAATATAAATTTTATTATAATTACTAACTTTTTTAAATTAACTTTTAATAAATTAAAAACCAAACACGTTTTTTTCTTCAAGATAAGTGGTTTTAAAAATTAAAACTGTTGAGCATTAATAATTTTGAAGAAAGTTACCTTTGATCCTCACATTCTTTTTTTATTTAAGAAAATGCATATTTTGAATGGAGTAAATTATTCTTTTTAAGTAAAAGATATAATTATATTTATTTTTTTTTTTAAAATTCCAAATTTAAAATTTCTATTGGGCTAATCTTGATCTGGTATTAGGTTTACTCAGCCCAATTAGACATTGGGTTAACAAGGATGAAACTCAGATCAGCCCATCAACACCTCTGGTTCATATATGTGGGATGGGAATGCGCAATTTTGACAGGGTTGGGGGAAGGCTCAAGAAGCACCCAAAAAAAAAAAAAAAGTTACTGCCTCTGTCCTATATATTAAGTATTTTTTAAAATTTTATTTTATCTAAATATAAAGGGTGACAATGATATTTTTAAATATTCAAACAATTTTACTCTTGTTTTGAAAAATAAAATAAATCATTAATTATATATTTTCCCTACACCATCATGATATTAATTGTGATATTATTAGAGATAAAACTGAAAAAATATTATGATTTTATGTGAGTTTAATTAAATAATAAATTTTTATTAAGTATGTGATATTTAATTAAAAATAATTTATACATAGAGACGGATGAAATAATAATTAGAGGAAACCTATTTGTTATACCCATTGAGAGCATTTTATTTTCTCTCCTGAGCAAGTAGTTAATAATTCAATTTTCATCTATTGTGTAGAGTAAACCTAAAGAATCTACTTTGTGCCTCCAATACTTTAAAGGGTTAAAAAAGAATTATTGGGACTTGGGGCGGGGTGCACACATATGGAAGAAAATATGAATAATTAATTATTAGGATAGGAGGGAACAATTGAGAGTTTAACTTTTAACTATTTCATATAGACTAAACTTAGTTGAGAAGGATCTATTTTTTTTCATAAAGAAAAATTAATTTTCATTTCAGAGTAAAAGATACATTTTTTCAAAAAAAAAAAAAACATTATTGGTGCAAGGTGCGCAAATATGAAAAAATTATTAAAAATTTGTTATTAGTTTGTGTTTTTTTTTCTCCATTTTTTAAGGAAAAAAACACAATCATCAATTCATATAACTTTATTAAATTTTATTTTTAATTCTTATAGTTTTTTTCTAGTATTTTCACTTTTTAATTTTTATAATTTCAACAAAATTGAGAGACGTTTGTTACTTGGGTCTCTATAATTTTAATATTTTTAGTATTAAAGCCTTTATAAAGGGTAAAACAAACTATAGGGGCTAAAAATAAAATTTATTAAAATTATAAGGATTAATGATTATATTTTCTTATATTTTAATCACAATGCAAGTCCTCTCCTGAAACTCCAGGATTAATTCCTTCAACTTGGTCAAGATTATGCCTAAGAAATAAATAAGTGCTTATTATTTATTATGCCTGATAAACAATAATGGCCTGCTAAGATATGTATGTATGTGTCTTCTTTAAAAGCATAATAACCATTTTCATACGTACTTGCGATGAGTCATATCATATTCTTACATAATTTAATAATAATTAAGTTCAATAAATAAAACTACGTATAGGTGTTACGATCATGACAATCAAACCTCACAATTGACCATTTCATATTATCTTCTTCTTCTTCTATCTCTTACCTGGACATTTGATATTGTATAATAATTAAACTAATTTGCTTGACTTCCAATTAAAATATGATTTAATTTGATAATTTATTATTTTTTCTATTTAATGAGTACAAATAAATTAAATATTTATCAATTGTTTGTAACTTATGAGAAAAAATTATCTGTTTGCAATAACAATAACATGTAATTAAATATTATATGTGACACCTATTTTTACAAGTTTATTGAATTATCTCCTTATTCGAATATCACAAAAGTGTAAATAGCTAATTATATATAGTTGGCCACACAGTACATTTTGTGGCCTTTAATAAGATCATTTTCCATGTAACTGTAGCTATAAATTCGTCTGCTAATAATCAAGCTTTTTCGTATATGTTATCTGAATTTCCTATGCATAATGAGGAAAATGCAAGAAATGTATATTTGATATATAAATTTAGACCATATTTAAACGGTTTAGTTTTTTTTGAAAAGAATATTAATTTTTTTTTTGCAGAAGTTAAGCTTTAGGATATTATAATTTATTTTTCACTTTGTACATGTTTGGATACTTCAAAATAATCAATTTCAGGGGCTAAAACATGATCAAACACTTCTATTACATATAAAAGTTAATTATAAACCAAAAATCAATGTTTTTTTTATTCAAACACCCCTAATACATGTTAAAATTAATTATAAATCCAAACCATATTTTTTTTTGAAAAAATTAAATAGCTATATATATGTGTGTCAAAATTAATTATAAACTCAAAATTATATATTTGTTAAAAATATCAAAATTATAATTTTGAGTTCATAATTATTTTAGAATGTAAAATCAATTTTATTTAACAAATATCCAAACACACCACATATTATAATGCAATTAAAAGTCATATGTTCTGATGATAAATGTTAGTGCGAAAAATATAGAATTGAATATAAATGCGCGCGCGCGTGTAAGACTGTTTGTAATTAAATAGATAAAAAACGATATGGTTGGTGGCTCATGAAGCACGAGGATGAGCAAAACAGATCCATCGTT